AAAAAAATAAACAATGTACACATTGACAATACATACACAGTGGAGTGTGTCATCTTCTCATAATACTCATCTACTTTTGCAGCTGCATCTTTGACCACGGGAGCAAACTTCGCATATCTCGACCTTTCTGTGCATGATGACCAAGCCTTGTGAAGAGTTTTGAGTGCCGGAATTGCAAGGTGTAAGGTTGAACCTCATTCAGATGAGAAAGCTTGTTGGACCACATCAGCATACTAAAAAACCAAGATAAGTAGCAAGCTTCAAATAAATAGAAAATAATGTACCAAGAGAAGATCGGTGTAGAAGAGGAATTGGTAGTGTGGATAATAGGGTGGTATGAGATATACTCAAGTAGTCCTCAATGAGCGAGATACATGTCGACCCAAGGGGATTACTACTGAGAAGGTTCCTCTAAGTGTATATGTGGAGGGAAACACTGGACCAGGCGCTTGGTCAAGCCTGGTAAGGCGCACGATGATGAGCGAAGCACTAGCGAGTGAAAGCGATGTGAAGCGCCAATGAACGATGGCAGGCAACGATAAGCAACAACATGCGACTTATAATGGAAGCGCACGCTAAGCGGAAGCGGTGCACATGTGCGGGTGGTGGAGCGCAGCAACTCTTAATGAGTCAGAAAACTAATTTGAGAGAGTTTCTCTAGTAATGTACGGCAGCGGGCGCTTGTATTGTACTTAGATACTTAGAGTTGATTGATAGATATAGAGAAGAACTTAGACTTAGAGTCCAACAATGTGCGGGCGGAAAGATAGTCATTATACAGTTTAAGCGCGAGTATATACTAAGTAATGTTAAGCGCTGTCAAGCGCTAAAGCAAATTGAGAAGCGAAGTGGATATGGAATAATATGTAATGTAAGGGTCCATGATGGAAAACATATGAGATATGGCCATAAGCACCGGAGATATGTCAGAATAAATGGAAATAGAATGGGAATATGCACCGACGAACCGAATGGACATGGAATAGATAGATGGAGGATGGGTGACAGAACTGAGGATGAGCGTGCCAATGTGTGACTGAAGCGCTCATGCGCACGAGCAGCTGATGGAGCGCTCAAGTGCGCTGGGTGAGATATGAGTCACACTATATTAGGAAGTGATTTGGACAATGGGAATTTAGATCCCTGCAAGCCCACAGAGATATTAGTCTCTACATCGGCAAACTGCCCAATGTGTGTCCATTCAATGTTTGACAGCTGCAAAAAGTCAATCTTCATGCATCTAGCTAAATCATGCTCTTGACGACCCATCTCATATACAAATGTGTCAATGTGTTCCTTATTCATCTCCACATGGTTGAGCATAATATAAGTTGAGGACCACCAAACCTTCATGTCGATCAACAGTTGCATTAGCTGGGACACGCCTCCCTTGGTTTGAACATTCCAGTACAGCTCCTTTCACTTTGCAGAGGAACATTCCTTAATGCAAATGCTATGAATGAGGCAATTTCATCTCAATTGGACGGCTTGTGTGCTTTTGGGTCATGGGGGTTGTAATGAAGGGATTTGCTGTATGAGCTGATCAAGGTCTGTGTCGCAATGTTGATAACAGCAGAGTGAGGAAGGAGTACTAAAAAGAAATATTCAAAATTAATAGATAATCATGTCTAGAAGAGTGACAGAAGTGATCACAGCAAAAGAAGGGCACACAAAGTATTATAATCATAGAGATTGTATTGATCAAACTGAAAGCCAAAAAAGTGTATCAACAAGTCTACCAAATTAAAATATTAGCCATATCTGCACATGATAACATCAGCTTCCCACACTATAGGAAACATAAATGAGGCTGAGAAGTATAGCATTCTGACATATCCCTATAGCTCAGTCATATTCCCACACCCTGGCTCATAATAAAGCAATTACATGAAAAGTTACAAATATTGAGACATGTTTTTGAGCTACTATAATTGTAGCAATTAGACATCACAACATGATCTTGAGGACAGGCACAAAGGTTGCACCATAATCAATCTCATGGATTTGAGAGAAGCCCTGAGAAATAAGTCAGGCCTTATAAGTAGGCCCATTCTTATTGTCCTCCTTGAAGTCAAGCACCCACCAATTCCAAATTGCCCTTCTTCTGGTAGGGAGAGTTGTGATCTTGTAGACAGACATCTCCTTTATAATTCCCAACTCTTTCCACATGACAGCTAACTATTCCTCCTAATCTAAACAAAGTGAAGCTTCTTCATAGATTGCTAGAAAAATCTCAAGGTTATAGTTAGGACTGGTGGAATTGCATTGTCAATTATTACAGATTGTAATGTTAGAATATTCTTCTATCATGAGGTTAGCAAAGACTTCAAATATGTCAATGTTCAGTTCTATTTCTTCCAGATTCTTTGAGATGGCTGATTCTGCAGGGATCAGGTCATGCAGTACTCCCTCACCTATGATAGAATGGCCTATATGCATGGTATACACCTGCAACTCAGAGAGACAGCAATGTCTTCCATAGAGGCTTTACTCTCTTCTATCAGGATCCAAATGTATAACAATCTATGAGAAGCTGGAAGTATGATGAAAGAGGAAGTGGATACTGTGATAAGAAAGGGTGAACCAGGGGAAGCTGCTGGAGTGACCATAGATGGCTCTTTATTATTTTCAGAATTATATGTATGAGTAATTGATGTTATGCACTCAAATAGATCTGTTATGCAGAGCCTTAAAAGAGGCTTCATCTGCTAATGTTTATGACATGACTGAGGGTCCAGTAGAGTGAGTGAGATTGGCAACATTTAGTCAGAAGTGATCATAGATACATATATCATATGATAAGCTTCACAGACAGATGTTTTAGAAGTGAAGTCACTAAGCTCAAAATAAGAATAGTCTCATCCAAATGATGAGTATCAATCAAGGTAGACTTAGATGCAAAGAGCACCTAAGAAGTCATACTAGAGACTGAAGCTGAGAGGCTTCAGAAGGAAGTAGTTTTGACATCTGAGACACAGCCAAATGAGTCCCTGTGACAGATCCCATTCAAATTGAGGAACAAATTATAAATTTTTAAAATGGGATGTCACTTCTCAAGATTCATGGTCAAAGCCTAAAAAGGTCCGTAATTAGATTTAGTGCCAGATTTGTACTCAAATGGGGAATATGTATGGACACAATTGCTGAATTTGTTGGCATGGATCTGCCTTATTGTTCGATGTATGATACAACAATGAAAATGACAGGTATGTGTTATCTGCAAGATTCATATATGAATGGTAGATATACTACACAAACAAATATTTGATATATTTAAACTCTGTTCAAAATTTGATAATGGAACATAGTATGGTTATGTTTGGTACACAAAGGAGGAAAAGATTGTTGAATTGTCTACAGATATGTCTGAATTTGAATTTTGACAAACATCCTGAAAATGTGCATGAGTCATATCAGTGCCCCACTCAGTGCTCCACCTAGTGGGGCACTGTCTGAGTTGAGTATCCCACAAGGAGTCCACTCAGTGCACTGTAACTTGGATGTATCTACTGTAATCTACACACAAAATATGGACATTATACTATTTAGTGTTGTGAAAATGAAACAACCCGGTTCCAGCCGATCAGTGGTAGTGAGGTAGGAAATCAGACACGTGGCGCCACTCTGCCGCATAATGAAATGACTGAGTTTCAGCAAAACCCAGGCTGAGTTCCATTCACTATTTAAGCCTCCGCAATGCCAATGGATTCTCTTTTTCTCACCACCATGTTGCAACTCACTACAGTACTATACAAATTGCTCTAAACACTATGCATTGTGATCGTAAAATTACTATTGTTGTGAGCATTCACTATGTTTGATGATTGCTACCCTGTGCATTTAAACTTACACATGTTACGTATTCCTGGACCGTCTAGGGTACAGGTATGAGGATTTTTGTGTCCCTCTCATGATCGTTACTGGCCTGCTTGCGGTCCATTTGGTGGCTCCTGTTTTGAGGGGCTGGACAGTCTCAATATGTTTATATTTTCTCGTGCCCTCTTATTTCTCTGCCTCCTGTTTTCTCAATGCTTTCCTTGATCCCTGGCCACTCTCGCCATGATCTATCATTTTCCCATGATGACTCATGCCCATTTTGATGATTTGGCTCGGCTTCATTTGGTTTCAGTCAAGGCCACTGATCCCTCTGGGCCTCTACATAAATGGAGAGTTTGTTGACACTGTTGAGGGTGGCATAATCAAGTAAGTGTCTTCTTCATACACTTGAGCATTGATCTCATTCATACAATGTTGTGCACTAGTACCAGTGTTGCACCTCATCTTACTTGTAGATGCCACCTTTTCCCCCAAACTGCAATATCATTTCACTCTCAGATCAATCATGAGCGTGCCGCCTTCAAGCGCATGAGCTTGGTGGAAAGAGTCCCAATATCATCTTTGATATCAACCTGGAGCAGGCAGTCAAGTGGGCTATCTACAGTATCTAGTATGTTGCCCCGTTCACATGGCTTACGCTAGTTCTCATCGTTTTTGTAGCTTTAACCACTCACTATGAATATTATCTCCTATTGTAGTAAGTTTATTGTTAGATGACCAAGGTTGATACTTTGTATTGTGTTGTCCATTGTCATCGGTAGCTCCATTCCTTATTGTTGTTGTTGATCACGTATATTTAATCTTAGTCCAAATGAATGAGTGTCTCCTCGTCGAAACAATTGAATGATTCAACCACTTGGAGCCTTATGACTTGTGATATGTAACAGACATGTTCATTCTTAAACACATCAACACATCAGATCACTCCCATTTTTATGCACCATCAACTATGAACGTATGTATTTTTCCTTCGTGGGGTCTTATTCTCATCGATGCTCCCAAAGTTTTCAAACAAATTTACAATAACACGCCATACCAAGGAGGTAAATGCATTGGCTGTGAGCACGCAAGGGGCGTTGCTTCTTACTGGAGGTAATGAATCATGTAATGGCCTTTCTTGTGCTGACTCATTAATAGGGAATGACGCACGCATTGCTCTGTAGAGCCTCATGTCTGGCGAAATGATGCAAGAAATCAATGTGCCCGCTGCTGGATATATCAGTGCCATTACCTGGATGGATGTCGATGATCGTGGAGAAACTATGTTCGCGTTTAGGTCATCGGATGGCAACATCCAGTTGTATGAAAGACTCAATGATGTATGTACTTTTGGTCTCAGTGATGTTGCTTGCGCTCATTGTTGCATCAGGCACTTTTCGAATTCTGCAGCAGTACCATTGCCCACTCTGGTGCGATCGAGTCGTTGGCATGGGATGCCAATCACTGCCAACTGGCTAGTGCTGGTGATGGCTCTGCACAAGTTTGGAACCTAACAGCAGACAGTTCGTGACCTGACACCACAGACATTAGGTGATTTAGCATGGTGGAATAGGCTGTAAATGTATATGTATTAGTTAAAATTTCACATGACTACTACCTACTGTAAAATAAATAGAAGAGGTTGAATGATCCAGCTCCACTCCTGTGCTGAATTGGTCTGAGAAAGTTTGCCTCTTGTACTGGAGAAAAGCATGTAAAAATTAATGAGATATATTTCTTCTTCCTTCCTTTGTACCAATTAGAAAATATATACAATATATAAGACAAACCAGTGTGGAATACCGCTGGACAATGACACCTTTTACTGAGATATTCCACTTGGGAAAAGGCTGACTGTTTCATGCATATTCCAGAACAAAGGATTCAGGACAAAGGAAAACTATTGTGCAATTTTTCCCGCAGTTCAAGTGTATTTTTAAGAGTGCATTTCCATTTCCCACAGAGAAAGCACAATGTTAAAGGAAAACTCTGGCAAATAAATTTTGGACTGATATTGTTTGCCTGTTCTGTATATGTGCAGATCAAGAAAAAATAAATTACTGTGGATGAGACTAGACTTATTATCCCATGTATGAAAAAATAAACTTAAAACCAATATATTCCCAATTAAACCTCTATAGTGCTGAATTGGTGGTGGCATCTTTTTGTGCTTTTCATTCTTTCCCCTTGCATAGTTGGTAGGTGGCATTCTTTGTGTCCTTTATACTTTTCTTTTATGCTTCTTCCTTTGAATGATTGTTATACAATTTACAGGCTAGCTATGCGCAGGTTCTTTTGATTAGTGACTAGTCCTGGTAATTACCAATAATTCACCTATATATTCAACCAGCTGAGCAGTAATTACTGTCAGCTGGTCGGTAATTACAGTTAGCTACCATTAGCTGGGTGCTGTCAGGTAATTCCAATAGTTCCACAACTCGACTTCTTCAAATTAGCTGTATGTAATTACTAGTAGCTGACCACAATTACTGGTGGACTTCCAAATATTTTCTTTGGATTAGCTGACTGCAATTACCAGTAGCTCCCAAATATTTATTTCATTACACATTGATTCTATTATGCTATTAGTACAATCATTCACATTGTTGAAAAGCCCTACATCCAGATCCTGCAAATTCAAGGTCAAAGATTGATGGGCAAGTTTCTTTCAGCTTCACGTTGTCTTGTTACTTAAGGGTCTTATATGAAAGTTGTGTATAATGACAACACAATTATACACAGTGAAGACTTCTTGCCAGTCCTTAAGTCCACGGTCTCCGACTTTTCTACTTCGTGGGAAGTAACGTGGTGAGTTCTTGGGAGGATTTAGTTTGTTGTCCTCTTCTTATATAGTCTTATACGAAGTGTTGTGGAACGTTCTGTGTTCTGGATAAATTTGTTAGGTGTTAAGACCATGCACAAAGGGTAGGACTGATTCTGAGGGGCTTGGCTTCAGCTCATGCGCTGCGCCTCTTACCCGAGTATGTGCCCTTAATTTCAGATTGGTGTCCGAGGAAAGTCCGAAGACGTCCGAAGGACATCCGAAGGCGCGGGAAACTTCGGAAGGACTTTCCGGACGGGTGCAAGTAACTTCCAGATGAGTGCGGGAAAGTTCCGGAGGAACTTCCGGAAATTACAATGAGGTTTCATCCTGATACGGATATGTATAATGGCTACTGGGGACTTGTCCTGAGTAGAAGTAAACAGAGGAAAGGCTGCAAGGACAAAGTCCGAAGCAGAATAGGAGCGGAGGAGCGGAGCTCTGGCCTAGGGAGAAACTCCCTAGGCCTGAGATGGATATCAACTAAGTTGGAAGACTAGAACTGATATGAGGACTTAGAGTGAAGACTAGTGCAAGGACTAATATGATATTCAGACTGAGGTACTACAAGACATATACACGAGTTTATATACTAAGAGAAATAACGGAAGGATCAATAAGCAGAGTCTGAGGCTATGTATGAAGCATATGCAAAGGTTAACAAATGCGAGTCGGAAATGAACATAGGTTAATGGATCAGTAAGCATACCAGTAATAGATATAACCAAAACAGCGGAATAGAGGAAATACCGAATAGGCTGTGTATAACGTTATAAGAACAGGAAATGAATCAAGAAGCTTATCGTATATCGGATAGGAAATGTATCTATATGTCGGATAGGATCGGATCGGATGTGGTCCGGATGAGATGCGTGGATATGCAAGATATAATATTAGGGCGATGGGACAAGGGTGAACAATGCAGGCTAGCTGCGAAGGTAAAGGGATCTGGATGTGGATGTGCGGAGGTGCAGGGATCCGGATGGATAGAGGACTGCAGACATGGATAGGATATCCGAAGGTCCGGATGAGGCGTGGGAATATTATCGGATGTAGGTCCGGAATACGGGATATGACATTAGGTTTGTTTCAGCCTAGTAGGTCGTGTTTCAACCTATGAAAGTCTGTTTCAACTTTGTTGTCCTTAGATATGTGTCTCACTTTCTGTTGAAAGAGAGAGTCTTATGAATACACGTAAAGCTTAGAATGAGAGCTGTTCAATGGTTATATAGTCAACCCCTGTAAGGTAGTATATAACCTAGAGTAGAATAACAATAACGAAAGTTATATAGTCAACCCCTGTAAGGTAGTATACAACTTAGAGTAGATAATGATATCTTAGATTACCTCAAGGCACTTATATTGGCCTGCACTTTAAGTCTTAGTGGTCTCACACGGTTTGAGATAAGAGTCAAGTGGGAGGATTGTATTTCATGGGTGAAAATGGGGTCCTTTTATACCTTTTGGGAACCCCCTTACTAAGCATGATTAATCAGATGGATTGATAAGAATGTGGCTTACAAACCAGGTGATGAATCAGCTTATTACTAAGCACATTACAAATACAGTGTAATCTTACAAAGAAATTACAAACCATGACAAACCATGAGTGAACATGTTGAGTCAGCTTAAATAATATTACAAACCAGAATATTTCCCAGTCACATGATGTGATGACAAATAAAATCTGGTGGCTGAAAGAAGCCAAATAAAAATAAACAGTCAGAAATAAATAGAGATACAAAACTTGGTGGCTGAAAGAAGCCAAATAACAATAAACAATGAGAAATAAACAGAAGGTCACATGCTTGATACAAATACAAGTTAAAAATAAGTCTGAAAAGTGAGAAATAAAATACAAGACAATGAATCAAAGGAAAAATGGAGAAGTAACTCAGTGACAGAGGGCTAGACAGTCTCTCATATCTTCCTTATCACTCTCTATATATATCTGACATGGTATAAATCACATACCATGCATGACAACGTGCAAAATTGTATTTGCCAACAATATTCAATGTGATCATATGCACCGGAGGCTCCCAATTGCTTGTCAGTTTTCTTTGTAGACACAAGGAACAAACAAATGCATTATAAGTCTATCAATGATTTGGTTTATCAAATATAAATTATTGAAGTTATTTTGACCATGAGGTTGACACGATCTGTAAGAACCTGTGGGTACATAACACCAAAGATACAACCTGGTAGCTAGGCAGGGCTATTGGATCGCACGTTAGTACATATCAGAATAGAGTGGCAGGGCTGCGAATGTAAAGTAACCATCATTGGGGGACTCGTCAGCAGTCTGTTGGGGAATGGGTGCCTGCCCTGGGCTGCTCAGTATAGGCAACTCTTTGACGGTAGTAGGGGGGATGATGGAAGCTCCTGGCTCAGCTGTAAGGTTGGGCTGACCCTACTGGTACTGCATTATACAGTTGAGTCCAGCAATACTAGGTAATCACGGATATGTAAGGCCAGAAAAGATACTAAGAATGATATTGGAGAACGCACTATTAAGTCATGTCGCATAAGTATCCGCTTCCCATTGGTTGGTCACACCGGAGCTGCTGGCATTCACTGAAAGAAAAATTAGTCGAGCAAAGCTTGTTGCAGAAGCTTCTTATGATCATGATTAGCAAATGAAGCGACCATAGAGAGTTGAACGATGCAGAGGTAGGGACACTGGGTTGCATAACCATACCAAAGCCAGCAAATGCCGAAGGTTTTATGATGCTGAGATAGATGTCAGACATCCAGATGTATTGGAAAATTGCAAGATGCTCGCACAGAAGTACTTTGGACCTGAGCAGCGATCCACTGAGCATCATTTTTCTCTACACCTTTCCAAGGCACGACATTCGGGTCATCAGGGCCATATGATTGCTAGTTGGGGAAATAGCTGGTTGGGGAATAGCTGGAAGGAAGGGAGCCCGATATCTAGAATGTTCAAGATGTCTTGACTGCCGATGCCATATGAACCATCATATGCTGACCCCAAAGTCGGAGCCGTTGCCTCTTAGTGGCTGCCAAACATAATCAGCCAAGAAACTGCTGCAATATGTTTTGACTTACCTGTCGCAACTCACCGCTCTCCTGCTCGCACACCGCTTCTGCCAAAGTTCCCGCACATTTCATAACCTCTATGTTGCAGAATATCCTCTCAGGTTGTTCTGGAAGGATTTGCTTCCTGGTTGCAGGTTTTGCTTGGCTGCACTTCTTTTTCTAGGAACCAGTGACGTTGCAGGAGGCGCTGGTGTTGGGATGAGAGTGTATAATTTTGAACAATTTGCATGCAAGTGTTCTCAGGCACTAGATCAGCTGTCAAATGGCGCCTATGGCTGTTACTGACATTGTGACATACCCAAAAGAGATGAAGGGACTGAAAGCCCTTTTATCAGCTATCGTGATGGAATGGCAGGTACCGTAGAGGCCCAAAGATTTACCAACTCATAACATTGGGCATAAGGGATGCGAAGCCCATACCAAACCAGTGACGTGCTGGATGATGTCAATATGAACCGAAATTTGTGAGTCTTTGAGTAGATGAAGGCATATTTACTATTTAAAAATCATCTTCTAATGAACTGAAAATATGACACGTTTAATACAATTGTCCAAGATCTCATATGCATACTCACGGAATTCTATTGCGCGAAATTTCGACCTAGATGCAGAGCGACTGGCATCTGCTTTTGAATATTTGGAGGATCCATTTTCAAAGATATTGGTATTTCCTTCCATCGAAACCAGCAGCCTTGCTGTTAAGACCATGCACAAAGGGTAGGACTGATTCTGAGGGGCTTGGCTTCAGCTCATGTGCTGTGCCCCTTACCCGAGTATGTGCCCTTAATTTCAGATTGGTGTCCAAAGAAAGTCCGAAGACGTCCGAAGGTGCAGGAAACTTCGGAAGGACTTTCCGGACGGGTGCAAGTAACTTCCGGATGAGTGCAGGAAAGTTCTGGAGGAACTTCCGGAAATTACGATGAGGTTTCATCCTGATACGGATATGTATAATGGCTACTGGGGACTTGTCCTGAGTAGAAGTAAACAGAGGAAAGGCTGCAAGGACAAAGTCCAAAGCAGAATAGGTCCGGAGGACCACGGGAAAGATCTGGATGAACTTTCGGAAACTATGGAGGATCAGATGAGCGGATGAGCAGAGTATCGGATAAGCAGAGCTCCGGCCTAGGGAGAAACTCCCTAGGCCTGAGATGGATAACAACTAAGTTGGAAGACTAGAACTGATATGAGGACTTAGAGTGAAGACTAGTGCGAGGATTAATATGATATTCAGACTGAGGAACTACAGGACATATACAAGAGTTTATATACTAAGTGACTATCGGAAAGATCAATAAGCAAAGGTCCAAGGCTATGTACGAAGCATAAGCAAAGTTGTCAAACTCGAGTCGGAAATGAAGCATAGGATAATGGATCAGTAAGCATACCAGTAGTAAGTATAACCGAGATACCGGGAACAAGGAAATACCGGATAGGCTGTGTTAACATTATATGCACAGGAAATGAATTAAGTAGCTTATCATATATCAGATCAGACTGGACCAGATCGGATATGGTCTGGACGAGATGCGTGGATATATGGGATATGACATTAGGGTGATAGGACAAAGGATGAATGAAGCAGGCTAGCTGTGGAGGTACAGAGGTCTGATGTACAGAGGTAAAGGGATCTGGATCTGGATGTGTGGATGTGGATGTGCAGAGGTGCAGGGATCCGGATGGGTAGAGGACTGGAGACATGGATAAGGCATCCGAAGGTCCGGATGAGGCATGGGAATATTATCGGATGTAGGTCTGGAATACGGGATATGACACTTGCATATTCTTCCTCAGTTGCAGATCTGCTGCATTGGGCACTGGATCCATAGCTCCCCGATACCTAAGAATGCGATCGATGGCGAGAATCTTGTGGAAGGTTAATGAAACACGTCTGAATCATGAGCAGAAGATCTGAATGTAAGCCTATGAGGTGCAGATGCATTGGTTGCACTGCTGGATGGGAAAGAGCATCACTTTTAACGAAGGAAAGTCAAAGCCACCGAACTTTCCTCATTACACGACATGCCAGCCAGGAACAGGCCATTTGTAGCATGCCACGCAGGATCAATGCGCCTTCAAGAGGCCAGAACGAGTACTTGTATAATGACGCTCAACCTCATTCAATCGCACATCGAGGCCATTGGTGGAAGCTGCAGAGGTTGCCAAAACCAACCTTGTCAGCTTACTAATTATCATTGGGAGGGTGCAAGTTGACTGGTCGACCTCCGAAGCCTAGGCCAAGGTGAGATTCGCATTACTCAAGATATGTAAACTAACAATTTCCCGTCCTACTCCTCATTAAATTGTTAGAGTGAATGTACAATATGGCCCCCAGATCCAGCTGCTGGGGGATGATAGTAGCGGCACCATGGGTAGTATATGACACTGCAGGCAGCGGCAGGTGTTGGTGAGATTAAAAATATGTTGAATTGCAGATAGCCTAATAAGTCATGACCAAAGCAATCACCAACCTACATCATGTCTGCCAATACACCCATTAGCATTGGGCAATAATCCACTTCAAAATAAAGCCACAAAGCCGATCCAGCGACCTGACAACAATGCAGTGTTCTTCAATCCCATTGGGAATGTAGATAAAAGAGCTGAAATGCGAGACAATATTGGAGAGTTGTAAGACATGAGCATCATCAGTAAAGTAATTGTAGTATAGCTTTGCGTCTAGATGCTCAATTGCCTCAAAAGGATCCAAATGGGAGTGAGCTGGGGACAATGAGCGATATTCCTTCACAACAAAAAAGGATTCCTGCATGGAAGAGCCGTCTGCAGTCACCCTCTCATGCATAAAGACTTCCTGCACCTGCCTGGCAGTGCGAGTGGATGACTGGTCAGGCACAGTTGGGACCTGAAAAAGGACAAAAGAATTGCCAGAGTGGTTCCTGAATGATGAATAAGTGAGTCCTTGCACATTTATGTGATGTATAGCTTGCGCTTTGAAGTTCAGAAGTGGGTGAAGGGATGATTCATCGTCCCAAGCTGTAAAGCGAGAAGAGATATCTGTGATATCCAAGTTCACCCGACGAAGGAGGGCCTGATAGATGTGGTCTTCAAGTGTTTCCAGTTTAGAAAGCTGGAGTCGGCCAGAAGATGTATGGCCATGGGTAAGGTTATCCATAAGGATGCCGTGAATCTTTGATTCAAAAAGTCTCTAAATGAGACCATCATGGCATTATACTGTGGTGTATCAGGCAAATGTAATGATTTTGCAAATGTGCACAAAATTGTTGCCAGACAGAAGTATCTCAGAAAAGTCATCTCCATCTCCCCTATATGACACTTTAGGTCAAGCAAAACAAAGGAAAATTGATCATCCACATACCTGGTTTGTTGTTGGTGTTGATGTCCCGCATTATTCCATTGTAACATTCAAATGGAAATGACCACCACCCTCGGACAGGTCCAAAGCAGGCCAAACATTCTTCGAGATGCAAGGAAAGGTGATGGTTTGTCTGTAGCTTGTGCTCAGGGAATAGCTCTAGCAGAGAAACAAGATAGCGGGTCATATGGGTCAGATAAATATCAACATGGCAGGATGATGTTGACCGCTTTGCTGCAATATCCACCACTATCACCAAGTCCGTAAAATTAGACAGTAGCCTCCTTTGCTGTTCCAAAGCAGATGCAGAACCCCAAGTGCGAACAAGAGTAATGATAAGGCTCACGGTGCAGACTGATCGCCATTGATCTGCCTTTAATTTTCCATGAGACGCACTCCCAAAATTCCTGGGAGGGGGAACCAGCCATGATGGAAAAGATGTCTTGGTGATATCTGATTGAATCCTCTCCACAAGCTCCTTGCCAAGCATGTTTGACCGTGAAGCATCCTCACACTCAGTACCAGGGAGAACAAATTCCCTGGTAGGTTCAGCACTGGTGCGAGGGATGTTATGATGATGAGTCGCGTGCGAACTGAGATGAATCTAACAGTGATGATCACGACAGTGATGCATTGTGCTGAGAGTCCAAGGTTGGCTCTTACAGACAAGCAAGAGTTGCATATGCTAATGGAGGCGAGCAATGATAGCAGTTACAGGCAGAAGGGATCTCAAGTCCTTCTGAAGGTGCAGATCGGATGTCGAGCAAGTAGCTTTTAGCAAGACAAGGAGTTCGAGGTAAAACCCAGTAAGATTAAAGTAAGGAACATCTACTTTAATTGTTGACCTTATATAGGGCTACTCTATCGATCTAAGCTCAGCTTGAAGCTGGGTTCTAATCTGCTTATCTATTGAGTCAGAGATACCATGCATGAGGCAGATAAATCCACATGATCTAGAGCCCAAGATCTGCCTCTCCATGCTTGATGATTGATCTGCACAAAGATTTGTACCTCTCCCTTGACACATCATCAAGCCTGATCCTATTGATCAACACTATGATCGAACTGTAAATGTCGTAGAATTGTTCAGTGGATGCGTTGACATTCTTGTATATGCCCTTGTGATATGCCTTGAGGGCATTGTGAACAGCAGCTCCTGCAAGGCTGGATACACAGTCGAGTCGCTTGCGGTTGATGTCAACATAAAGCCCTTGTAGCCACACAACATCAATGATCATATCAATGAGGTAGTTAGCCTCCAGAAAATGTGTTACTTTGATGCCATCAACCTGTTGGCATAACTATAAGTTGCTCAATTATTGTAAGATGAGACACTTACAATTTCAGCCTTGTGCAGGAAGTTCAGTCTGGAGAGGTGGCCTTTCACCACATTGGCCATCTCCACAGGTGGGAGAGGTAGATTAAGGGTGTTGAGAATGTTGTGTGATGTATCTGTCTTGAAGAGCCTCCGTGTATGCGACATCGACATTACCATCTCTTCGTGAATCTTTGGTGTCTCAAATTTTTCATATATGTTACAAGTAACATCGGCTACATGGTCCCCCCTATCATTTTTCCCCTTCGTCCTCGCCCTCGTATGCCTCCGGCTCGTACTTCTCTACCGACTATCCGTTGACCGGATCCTCGGGACCGTTCCCGTCCCTCATCCCTCCTATCGCACCAACGTGCGCACGTGCCTTCGGGCTATGACTCGTTCTGACTCGTGCCACCAATGTGGCTTTCCTTATCTTGTCTTATCTTTCCTCTGACTCATGCGTGCTGCGCATTGTATCATTTACCGTTGGCTCGTTCCAACGTTTCTCGGTCTCATTCCGCATTCGACCTTACATCACTAATCAGGCTCTGCTATCAGCATACCTATACCCTTTCCGTTTCCCCTTTGCCCTTACCTACAGTACGGTAGCCTTGCCCTTAACCCTTTCCACTTAGTATAAGTAGTCGGTCACTCTGTACTAGATTCCCTAACTTGAATCTACTCAATCTTCCCTCGAACATACTTCCCTCTGAAGCCCCCTCAGCTTCAGTCTCTAGTATCTTTTCTTAGGTGCTCATCGCGCCTAAGTCTACCTCGATCGACTACTCATCGTTTGGACAAGACTGTCCTTACTTTGAGAACGTCAGTGACTTTAAAGACATCTGTCTTAGAAGTCACGTGACACGCGCATCTCTGATATCTGCCGACTTGTCGTTGCCAGTCTCAGTCGCTACACCGGACCCTTCCGGTTACGTCACGAACGTTAGCGGACGACGCCCCTCTTAGGGTTCCGCATAACAGATCTATTTGAGTGCGTAACAATATAGAACTGTGAAAAAGAGTTATTGACATCATGATCATCTTAACATCCTTCTTTTTAAGCTTGACTGGGGCTGGGAAAGTGGCTGGAGGAGTAGCTGCAGGGGTGACAGCAGGGGCTGACATGGTTGGTTGTGCTGGTCCAGAGGTAGGGGTATGAGGGAGAATAACTACTGAAATGTATGGTACTAGTAATCAGCATTGTTGTGACTGCCATCCATAGTATACTATAGTCCATATATCCTCAAGATCTGGAACTCTACCATACTTTAGCTCTATCCGGGCAAGACTGGGTTATCGAGTTACTCACTAGTTACCCAGAGTGCATCAGGTGTGAACTTGGCATACATGCCAATGCTTTTGTGAAGCTTATCTTCAAGCTTTGCACCATGGGCCCACTTCACTCCCATCTTCACAATTCACAGGTACATTATCATTGTCACCTTACTGAGCAATTCAGGGTCACATATGATGTATGCATGGAAATTCAGTGTTATGTTGATGCTTGAGTGGATTCAGCCTTAGGGTGGAATATACCTAATTGGCATATGCTTAATGCATGCCCTGCATGCCATTATGTTGTTGATAAGGAACCCTCATTATAGTTTGCCTTTCTTGTCTCTATGGATGGCAACAATTTGGCTAAACTTGTTGATCCAATCTTATGGCAAGGAAATGAATGTCCAGAACCCTGTGATCATTGGTCAGCAGTCTGGTTAACCAAAGAGTATATTGATCACTTTCAACACAAAATTCTAAATACATAGCAATGAAGTTGATGTGCTCAAGGCACATTAAGTTTTCATGAAGCTGCCATTGAGACTAATGATGCTCAGACAGAAGGAGATTGTCAAAGTATGAGTTGGTTTCAAGCATTATGCAGGGCTAAGGGAGGGAAACTATTCATCATCCCTTGGTTTATACTTGAGAGTATGGGAAGTGCAACAGGCATTCCCTAGGGTCACCAGAGATACAAGGCTACAGTCTCCAGAGACAATAAAGGCAATTAACAGGTTTTTTATAGTCATTGGGACACATGTAGTTCTGAAGATCTTGGCTCTGTTGAAGAGGTATGCTCTAAAACAACTTGATATGCAACTCAGATAAGTATCTAGCCCTAGTTGTGGACCCTGGATGAGAAACTGACTAACATTTACAGGACAAACAGAGTGGTAAAGCACCTACTAAGGAATGAGTTTCTCCTCATGCCTTCCCTGGACTTCAAAGGAGTATTTTTCTGCTTGGCAATCAAGGATGGTATAAGTGAAATTATTCACATAGATTGAAATAATGGTTTGGACATCATCACATGGCTGATTACCTTGGGGAAGTGAGAGGGTAGAATAATTGTCATTATCTACAAAGGTATAGAGAGGCGTATCTCTCTACATGTAGGGAGTATGTTTGGTTTCATGTCCTATACCTTGCTCTATTTCACCACCCGAGTCATAGCAGGGTGCTGGACTATTCTGATCTGTTTCTCAGACAGTAACCTTCTGAGCCATGCCAGCAAGTTCACACTTCATCACCAAGGGATCCTGATTATCTAGTGGCATATATCATTTGTTTGTACAATGTGCTATGAACTGGTTTTTTGATATATGTTTGTAGGTCTACTCACGCTCGTGGAAACAATACTCTCCAAAAATGCAGTTCTTGTAACACTCAAGAATGTCAGGCTTATCTCCAAAAATTAAAATTGAAAAACTGTGGCTGTACTTTGCTTGTTGGTTGTTGGACATAGTAAGCTTATAGCTGATTGTTTGGTATGATGAGCTTGCAGTATTTACTATCTTTTGAGAATATACCTCTTAATCTTAAACAGCTCTTGACATTAATGCTAACACCAATCACACCATACTCACAACTTAGAGTATCAGATAGGCTTTCTAAAAATGCTTTTTTTCTATTAAGGCTCATTAGTGCCATGTTATGCTGCTATAGCAATGGTCCTAGTGCTAAGCTCATATCTTGTTATTTCCACATATGTCTCACATCAGTACTCCTCAACACTCTTTGACTGTTCCAAAACTTCTGTGCATCTATCTGAGTCATCTGAAGGTGGTCTATTCACTTCTGAGGCCTATTTCCATCTATGGCCCACTGTATCATGTCCTATTCATGTCTGTTTGACTTTGCTGATGTATTTTTTACTTCATATGTCTATTATTGAGTATGTCTTAGGTGTTACACTGGAATTAGTCAAGCTATCTATGTCTGAATGGACAAGTCTGCTAGCAATTGGCTAGTAAGACAGACAGAGATCTTCTATTGAATGAGAGTTCAAATTATTCAGGCTAAGGCAGCAGTGGTGGCTCTCTTAGAATAGTGGTTCTGGATAGTAATATTAGAGATCTTACTGGAGGACAAGTTTCCAGGTACAATTTAGTAGATTAAAGTAAGGAATATAAGTGCTGTCTATAGTACTTATATAGGAACAAATGATGGCACACAGACCAGATCAAGATAGGTAAATGAGCTAGTACATATCTATGAGTTAGAGATAACAGATAACAAATAAGAACATGAGGCAGACAGCCTAGTTGGAAAAGATATACTTATAAGTGCTATGTACAGATAAATGAAGTTTGACTTAATAACTGCATTGCCTCCAATAATAAGTTGACACATATGACAAACTAATAATATATTTAACAACTTTTCTGGAGTTAGATGTCCACTACATCAAAAACTCTCAGTCTGACTTCCTGCATATTAAGTGTAATAGAGCATTGGTCTATATTATTGTCTGTCAGAACTTTACATACTCCTTAGATAAACTTGAAGCTTTGCCTAAGTATGAGAAAGTTGTTCTCCTATTGGATCATCCCTTTAATACTGTTCCTGATAGTATGTCTTCATATTTCACTATTTGTTATAAGTACTTTCTCTCTAAAAATCACCAGCAATATTCGGTTTTGCAATGAGATGAGGTCACAATATTCAACTTTGTAAAATACCTGAAGTCTAATATGAACTATTTCACTACTGAGACCCATCACTTAGATATATGAAAGATATTTAGGGCAAAAGCAAACTTAATGGCAAAAGAGGCAATAGACAAGCTACTTTAGTATGTGCAGTCTTTTATAGCACTAAAAATTGCTACTGTATATGAGCAGCATGCTTCTTTTTACTGGAAGATCCTATAAAAATAAATGTATGATGCTACTAATGATAACTCATATATGCTAATATTATGCTAGGGTCCATACTTATGTCTACCAATGTCTAAGACATGATCTGCTATCTTGGCCCAAAGTGGAAATTCAAAATGATAATTACTTATTATTCTATAGCAACCAAATGTTTCTCAACTATAACTTATCATTCTGTCTATTACAGGTAGATCATGCAAATATCTATGAACTGATCCTATTTGTATTATTTAAAACTCTAGTATCAAAGTGAATGAGTTAGTTGCCTAAGGTTAAAATTTACAGATATAGTACTATGAATCTGACTGGACTAGACTTTGATAGTACTATCTTATATGATATTTCCATGTTAGTTCTTTGACATCTAATAAACCAAGGAAATAATGTTTAGAGAAACATATAATAATATTCTGAATGCTAAGTAATAAAAAATAAATGTAAATTTGTTAACTTCAAATCTTGAATTTGAATCTTTGGGGTCACGTTGACATGAATAATTGTGTATGTAGAGACTTAAGAAACCAATTTAAAAGCATTCAAGTTGGCAAAATGAATACAGCATTGTAGCATACAAGAAGCTTACATAGTTTACATAATAAAACTAACTATGCAATGCAGCTGTCTGGGAAGGCCACAAATGAGTCCACTATCTTTGAGAATATCTTAATATGACACTAGATGACATGGAATTGGTTAATATTCAACATACTGAAAGATCGCAGTGCATAACACCATGAGGCAGTTTAGAATAGGGAGAGTATGTAATTGATGAAAAGTACAACAATCAATAAGATGACAAAGATCAGAACTAACCTTCAATGTAACAACCATGCCAGCATGCAAAGAAAAGAGAAAAGCTAAGGAAGATACTGATAATAATGATCATAATATAAGTGAGTAGAAAGTTGGGTGAGGACAATAATATACCAGATGCAAATAGGGGTGATGCTACTGTAAGTTAACACCAGGGATATAACATGGCTGCATACTAATGAGAGTAAATAATATATCATACTGATAGGATATGGTGGCTATTCATGCCTTTATCATGAAAAGTAGCACTAGCACTAGTTGTTATATATATATTAATATTGCAGGCTATGACAATGCAATGATATTGTACCATCACAACCTAAAAAATTGATGATAGGCAATTGTGTCTAGGCTGTTAAGCATTTGCGCTTTCCATCTTCTGTGGTTTGATTTGCCTGGCAAGAGATAGCTATATAATGTGCGTAATATTGCTACCGCACTGTAACATGATATATAGGTTTCCGTATTCTAAGCTGTCATACCAGACATTCTATGAAGAGCATCACTAGCCTTTCTTGTGTTAGTGGTGCTGAGCATGCCCAAATATGCTGTTTTCTCCTTGGTGTCATTATTGATGCTCGACTTCCTGGTAATATATCTTCTTTTTATGTCTTTCACGAGCAGTCTGTGGTCTTCTGTATTTACTTGACTTGGTACAGTATCCATACCGTAGTTTAGAGACACTATCTCTCCTTGATAAAGCTCTCATCATATTCCATGATAACAAACAAATATTTGTTGACCTTGGTATCTTGCCAGTATACCTTTTCATATATTGCTCACAGGATATATCTGAAATCTTTCAATAATTTTCCATATGTTATGAACAATATTGGATTTATGTATAACTATCTCTAACTTGTGATAGTTTATCTGACTTAGTTGTATTATTGCTATTTGTATCTAAGTTAGTGTGGGATGGTTTTTCTGATAAGCCTGAAAGACAACTTTCTTATATATGGCTTTCAAGATAAGTGAGCTCTCTTTGCCTTTTACTAATCTTCTTCTTAGTTGAGGAAGCCTTATCTGCTGAGGGACAACAATAAAAGACTCACTCTGTGCCATATTATAATTGGTGGGTGATAATAAAGCTTGAAGGTTTAAAAATTGTCTATTTCAATAACCCTTATTGGCTTCCTAAGTTTGGCTCTAGTTTGATATATAATACAAGTATGCAATGTCTATGCGTTCTTCGCTCTTTTCTGGTCTAAGAAGAAATATCTGATTGTTCACGACGCTGACTCAATCTGATCTACGTTTCAACAGGAGTGCTAGTTGCATGTAAGTATTTGGGCAAAGCCCGCAGGGGCTTTCAGCCAGAAACACCGCTCTGAACCTAAGAGGTCGAGATGAGCCGTGAGGGCGGGTGGGCCTCAGCAGCTCACACTCAAGATCGAGAAGACTTCTTCATGTTCGGGAGTGATGCGTCGAGCAATTCTAATTATGTGTTGCATTTTGATCATTAAATTTGTATGTCGATTCTTTTCTGTTATCTGTGGTTTTTAGATGCGAGACATATGCTGCTAAGGGAGTTGGCAGGCGGGTGCGAATGAACGAGTGTTACGACTTGGCGTCATGGAGTACTGAGAGTTTGCAAGTGGTAGTACGAAGCAAAGAAGCGATGTCCCAAAAAGGACATCTGTCACATAGACGACATTCTATGTTCATCCTCGTTCCTTGGACTCACTTAGAAGACAATCTATGCGTTCTTTGCTCTTTTCTGGTCTAAGAAGAAATATCTGATTGTTCACGACACTGACTCAATCTGATCTACGTTTTGACAGGAGTGCTAGTTGCATGTAAGTATTTGGGCAAAGCCCGCAGGGGCTTTCAGCCAGAAACACTGCTCCGAACCTAAGAGGTTGAGATGAGCCATGATCCAAAACACATAAGGAGCCCAGCGACGTGTTAGGCACAGCTTGAACTCCTTATTATAAGGAGCGGGGCAAAACATACCTTCAATCAGCGCAGCTGTGGCATCGTGTAGCGGGTGAAAGGCTCAATGATTGGTGTATCTTGGAGGTATGGTGCCATTATGATGGCATGGTCGCGTAGATAAATGGTAAATGCTTCGCTTGACCACCTGCCCATAGACTTGACAATGTCGAACGGAACTCCGCGCAGCAAGTATTCGAG